GTAGTGATACTGCCTCGGAAACCCAAGGAGGGGTCGCTATGAGTCGGGGCCGACTCGACGGCAAACAACAACAAGGGAGAATAAAATTTCAAGGTATACCACTTTGACTGTTGTGGCCATGGCTTGTGATTGAAATAGTTTCTGTTTCCAGATTTAGCATCCTTGGGGGATTTTGTGCTTTGCTGATTTAGAAAAGCTATACCCTTACATATTCTCAACTTCCTAATTTATTATTGTTTGCAAATACAGCATTTGCTTTCACTAAGCTATACTTTTCAACAAATTTTAGCCCTATATATCCCCTAAAATTGCTATAACCAAAAAGCAAACCCACTGCTATCAAGTCAATTCCAACTCATAGTGACTCCCATTGGGTTTCTAAGGCTGTAAATCTTTATGGAAGTAGATTACCTCATCCTCCTCCCACAGAGCAGTGGTGGGTTTGAACTGCCAATCTTCTGGTTAGCAGCCAAATTGCCTTACCCACCACACGACCAAAGCTCCCTAAAATTGCTACAAAGCCCCAAAATGGTAGATTAGACATTTCTTTCTAAGTTATTTGCTAAGAAAAATACAGACGACTATAATTTTATTAAAGTCAGAAACTGACCTTAACGATTTTTTCTTTGTATCCTGTTCAGAACTATAAACACTGTTTTTCTTATGCTATTGGAAAACCAGGAGACTTGAATCAACCATATGAGATTATCAACCAAACTAATTCTAACCATATAATTTGGCCCATGGACCATTCTGGAATGTATGTATTTGGTGTGAAGATCCTGGATCCAAACTATAGGTGAATGTAAATGTTTTATTTTAATAATACCTGCTTAATTTATTACTTTTAGTGTTCATCAAAATTAAACTTTTATTTTCTTGATTTAATTTGATGCCACCCAGATAGCCAATTGTTGTTATTCTTATTAGTTAGATATTTCCTTTTTCATTTTCTAGCAGTCACATTAAGTAAATATTCTATGGGTGTGGGAGATAAGATTTCATGTTGAACATTAAATTAATCAATTCTCTATTACATTGTGAGTACATAGTAGGTACTATTGCCATGCTGTATGCAAATATAAACATAACCTCAGACTCTGAGGTGTACATAATTCAGCTGGGGATAGGAATAAGAAATTGGGGAGCACATACAAACCCTAAGAGTCTAAATAAGAGCAAAATAGATAAAGTATTTCTAAAAAATAATCATGTGCATTTTTGATGGGCATAGTAGTAATTCAGAGATGGGAAAGATTAGTGTAGTTTTGAGCAGTAGAAGAAAACTTACTGGATAATATGGAACATTAGCAGAATTTACATTGCCAAAAGACTAGGAAAGACAGTTTAGGTAAGTTATATTAACAAATGCAGTGGAGCTGAACATTAGCATATTGCCACCGAGTAGATACCAACTCCTTATAACCCTATAGAACACTGTAGAATTGCCCCGTAGGATTTCCAAATCTGTAACCTTTACAGAAGCAGACTACCACATCTTTCTCCCATGGAGCAGCTAGCTCGGTGTTTTTGAATCACTGACCTTTCAGTTAGCAGCCTACTGCTTTAACCACTGCACTACCAGGGCTCCTGGGGTCAGGATGGCAGGTAGAAAATACCTCGAATGAGGACCATAGAAAACAGGAAGAGACAAAGTGATTCATAATGTTTGAGTGTATTTCCACTCTTTTTTTTTTGGATTGTTTGGTTTTGATTTTTGTTTATTTTGATTATTATTTTTTAACTTTTTATTGTGATTGGGGTGAAAGTTTACAGAGCATTTCACTTTCCATTCAACAATTCATACAGATTTTGTTTGATGACATTGACTGCAATCCCCACAATATAACAACTCTCTTCCCACTTCCTCCCTGTGTTTACCTTTTCCCTTGTGTCCTTCTTTCCTAGGCATTCCTGCTTTCTGAGCTTTCTCCCTACACAAATTCTGCTCTTCTGAGTTCCCATGGTTGATTGTCCTAAGGAGGATACCTCCCTGGTGTAATTATTCACCTTGAAGTCCTGTCTCTTGTTTGGCTGAAAGTTAAGCCATGGGAATACATTCAATTCCAGGCCCAAAGGTGACTAAGAGCCATAGTCTCACAAGGGATTCACCAGTATCTATCATAATCTATCATACCAGTAAGCCGGGTCTCTTTTTATGATTTTGAGTTTTGTTCCACATTTTTTTTTCCCCACATTATCCAGGATCTCCAACTTTGATCCCTTTCCAAATGGTGAGTAGTGACAGCTGGGCACCATCTTGTTCTTCTGGTCTCAGGGTCATGTAGGCTGTTTCCCATGGTCTACTAGTCACTTGGATTAATTGTTTCCATGCATCTTTGATTCTCTTTACTCTTCTGTGTTCTGGATATGGAGAGACCAATAGTTGCATTTTAGATGGCCACACCCCACCTTTTAAGATCTCAGTAACTACTCACCAAGGTAGGATGTAGAAAAATGTTTTTGCATATATGTTATACCGATTGAGCTTGACGATGGTCCCAAGCCAGCAAGTCCAGTGACTTACTCCCTCAAGGAATTTGGTTGTGTCTAAGAAGTTATCATAACTTTGCCCCCTGTTAGCTCTATTATATATGGACAATTTTATAGTACATACCGATACATATGTAGAAACATTGTCTGCCAAACCTGTATGTGGTCAAAGGTGTTTTCATGTTCATCTACCCATACCTGATCATCTTGCCTATCTATGTAGATTGATCTGTAGATTAATGTTTGTTATTACTGATAATGCAGTATTGTGTGTAAAAAAGTATTTACCTTTGTTGTCTGTACCTCTTGTGCAGCTCTCCATATCTCCCATTTCCTTAATGATATTGTGCTGGTCACCCACGTTTGGTATATTGCCTTTCCCTTCACACAAATCAATGCATGTCTCTTACCTAGCTACCAATTTCCCTCTACTCCCCTCCCATCCCTGGTAACCTGTAAAGAAAGTTTCTTTCTGTCTATAAACCTTTCTTTGACTATTTATAATAGTGAACTCATACAATATGTGTCCTTCTATGATTATTTCACTCATCATTACATCTTCCAAATTCATCCAAGTTATGAGGTGTTTCAGGGATTCTTCATTATTCTTTAATGTTGCATAGTATTCCACTGTGTGTATGAACCATATAGTTTGGTTATCCATTCATCCATTGATAGGCACTTAGGTTGTTTCCATCTCTTTGATATTGTAAATAGTGCTGCGATGAACATGGATGTGCATGTATCTATTCGTGTTCTGGCTGTCACTTCCTTAGGATATATATCTAGTAGCAGGATTGCTGGATCAAATGGAATTTCTATTTCCATCTTTTTGAGGAAGCACCATATCATTTTCCACAGTGGTTATACCATTTTACAGTCCCACCAGAATTGTAGAGGGTTCCATTCTCTCCATACCCTTGCCAGAACTTGTTGTTTTCTGTCTGGTTAAATTTTGCTATTCTTGCTGAGGTGAGATAATATCTCATTATTGTTTCTATTTGCATCTCTCTAATGACTCATGATAGAGAGCATTCTTCTTGTGTTTGTTGGCTCCCTGAATATCTTCTTTGGTGAAGTGTCTGTTCATGTCCTCTGCCCATTGTTTAATTGCATTGATTATGTTTTTGATGTTGAATGTTGGTGTTTTCTATAATTTCATGGATAAGTCCCTTGTCAGATATGTCATTGCCAAATATTATTTCCCAGTCCATAGGTTTTCTTATTACTCTTTTGGAGAAGTCTTTTGATGCATAAGAATTTAATTTTTAGAAGGTCCCAATCATCTAGTTTATCTTCTGCTGTTTGTGCATTTTGGGTTATATTTGATAGTTTATATGTGCCATAAATTCCTAAACCAAACTCACTGCCATTGAGTCAATTCTGACTATTAGCAACTCCCTTTGGGTTTCTGAGGTGGTGAATCTTTATGGAAGTAGATTGCCCAGACTTTCTTTCAGGGAGTAGCTGGTGGGTTTGAACCGCCAACCTTCTGATTAGCAGTACTGTGCCACCAGAGCTCCTTTGCCATAAAGAAAAAAAAAAAAAAAAAAACTCACTGCCATCGAGCAAATTCCAACAAAAAAAAACCCGGCCTTGGGTTTCCAAGGCAAAATCACTACGGAAGTAGATTGCCCAACCTTCCTTCTGAGGAGTGGCTGGTGAGTTTGAACCGCCAGCCTCTGGTTAGCAGTTAAATGCCTTAGGCAGCTATCCATGGGTGGATGGATCTATTTCTGAATTTTCAGTTCTGTTCTACTGGTCTATGTGTCTGTCATTGTACCAATACCAGGCTGTTGTGACTACTGTGGATGTATAGTAAATTTTGAGGTAAAGGAGTGTGAGATCACCTACATTGTTATTCTCCTTCAGCAGTGTTTTGCTTATCTGAGGTCTCTTTCCTTTCCATATAAAATCAGTGACTGGTTTTTCCATGTCCTTAAAGAATGCTGATGGAATCTGGATTGAGATTTATTGAATCTATAGATTGCTTTGGGTAGTATTGACATTTTCATAATGTTCAATCTTCCTATCCACAAGCATGGTATATTCTTCCATTTAGGTAGATCTTTCATGGTTTCTTGAAGTAGTGTTTTTGTAGCTTTGTATAGGTCTTTTGTGTCCCCAGTAACATTTCTTCCTGAGTATTTTATCTTTTTAGTAGCTATTGTAAATGGTATTGTTTTCCTTATGTCCTTTTCTGAAATATCTATGTTGATGTAGAGAGATCCAACTAATTTTTATATATTGATCCTATATCCTGCCACTTTCCTGAATCTTTCAATTAGTTTGTTATTTTCTTGTTGAGTCTATTGATTTTTCTGAATATAGGATCATATCTTCTACAAATGGAGATAATTTTACTTCTTGTCTGCCAATTGCTCTGGTGGTGTAGTGCCTAAGGTATTTGACTGCTAACTACAAGGCTAGCAGTTCAAGCCCACCAGCAACTCCTCAGAAGGGAGACTGGGCAATCTACTTCCATAATGAAACCACCTTGGAAACCCAAGGAGGGGTCATTATGAGTCAGATCCAACTCAATGGCAATGAGTTTGGGTTTGGGTTTTGGTTTGCCAATTTGGATGTCTTTTATTTCTCTTTTTGCCTTATTTCCCTGGCTAGTACTTCTAACACAATGTTGAATAGAAGTGGTCATAGAGGGGATCTTTGTGTGGTTCACAAGAGGAATGCTTTCAGTCTCTCTTCATTGAGAATAATGTTGGCTGGTGTTTTTGTGCATATGCTCTTTATTATGTTGAGGAATTTCCCTTCTATTTCTATTTTGCTGACAGGTTTAATAAGGAATGGGTGTTGGATTTTATCAAATGCCTTTACTGCATCAATTGATATAATCATGTGGTTCTTTCTTTTGTTTTATTTATGTGGTGGATTATGTTGGTTTGTGGTTTTTGGTTTTTTTTTTAATGTTGGCCCATCCTTGTATACCTGGTATGAACCCCATTTGTTTTTGTTTTTGTTTTTTGTATAATGTTCAATTCATAATTTGATAATAGGAATGGCTAGGGTTTTGTTGAAGATTTTCTTGAAGAATATATCCTATATTCATGATGGACATTGGTCTGTAATTTTCCTTTTTTGTGATATCTTTACCTGGTTTTGGTATCATATCAGAGCTATGTTTGTTTCATAAAATGAATTTGGGAGTATTCCATCTTTTTCTATGTTCTAGAATCGTTTGAGTAAGATAGGAGTCAGTCTTCTCTGAATGTTTGGTAGAATTCTCCAGGGAAGCTGTCTGGACCCAGACTTCTTTTGTTGGTAGTTTTTTAAATGACCTGTTCAGTTTCTT